GCATGGCTACTTGGATTATAAATTTCATGGATTGGATCAAGGATGATTGGATTTGACTTATGTGATTGGCATTTTTTCAATGCAACTTATCCATCATAATACATTATTTTATAAATGTTCTCTGTGGAATTATTCACAGAATTAACATTAATTTACTAGATGATTGTTTGCATTAACACAATAGGTTGAATTGGTAACATTTATGCAACTTGTATTTTTAATGCAGTAACAGGCTAAATTTTTAAATTAAATCTACTCACTCTCTGTTGCTCAAATGACACTGATTTAATTCATTTATTGATGTATTAATATTTAAATGGCTTATTATAAAAGCCCAATACCTAATGAAACTATGCTGACAATTTGAAGGCTTTAACTTTACAGGGAAAATAATTATGGCATTTTGAGTATTGAGAACAGGAGCTATGTTTTTAATGAAATTTACATAACCTCTGTTCCTCAAATCGCACACATTAATATGTTTATTGTAGTATTTGCATAACAATGACTTATTATTAAAGCCAAAAACTTAATTGAAATGCGTTGCAAATTTCAAAGCTTTAACTTTGCTGAATAAAAATTTAACGCATTTTGAGTGTCAAAGATGTCTTTTTTCGGTCACAGAATTTTGGAAAATATTTACTAAGGCTATATAAGGAAAAATTCTGACACTAAAAATTCCATAACTTTTGTTCTAATTAAGATAGAAAGATAAAATAGGTATCAATGGAAAGGAAATACTGAGTACTTTCTAATGATATAAGTTTAATTAATATATAACAGCTTTGAAATTTTTAGCGTAGTACCTAGCATAGGAACAACAACGCCCGGCATATACCGAAACCCGCCCTTCATTGCTGGTCACAGAAATGTACCACGCAAAGCCGGCGTTTTTTTTGCCTGCGACGTCCGGTATTGGCGTACCTACTCCTAGTAAATTTGAATCAGAAATCGGCGTCGGCGCAGTAGGATCCGAGTTTTTAATTTTTCATGTGCATATTATTTGAATAAATTAGTAGTCTTTTTGGCCCATAATTAATTTAGGTTTGACTCTGCCCATTAACATTAGGAGAAATGTTGAACTACATTCCCATTGAGTTAATTTGTTCTTTATCTCAACTTTAAGTGAGGAAAATCGTATGTTAATATAAGACATCTTCGCATTAAAAAATTCGGTCTAAATATTGAAAGTAGGTCTTTCATATTAAAAGTAGGCTTGCATAATTTGTTGAAGTACACGTGAGCAAAATTTCATTGAGATAGCTCATGCAACATTTTCACAATTCTCAACGTTGACCTCATTATGAAAAGGTCGCACAGGCCATTTTGGATTAGTGATTCTGCCCCCTTTTAAATAGCCGAAAACTTAGCTTAGGAAATATTCATTTGGGGTCATCACTTTCAATTTCACTTACTTGCTTCATGCGGTCCATGACCATGTTAAAAAAGGACAAATTAAATAATACTTTAAAAATTCCTAACTTTAAAACTACAACAGCTAAAAATATGATTTTAGTGTTATCATTCTTTAAAAAATTAGCTTTATTCAACTATGCCATTGGTTTATTTTTACAAAAAGTTTTAATTTTCTAATCAAAGTACCTACAACTGCCTGTATTTAACACTCTGGAGACGTAAGGGCCTATCTATCGGCCCGAGGCACACTAGCGAGAAAGACGTAACGTCCGAGCCGTCGGCCTGATAGATCGAGCCTAACGATTGGCTGGCTTGGCGTTGTACCAGCGAATCAAAATTATTCATACGTATTCCTGCACATCCCGGCATTGTAAGGTGAACTCAATTGAAGGTGAACTCTATTTGTTTGCAGGAATTTTTTTGTGTGTGTGTAGTTGCATCGTGAATTTCGAAAATGTCCGACAGTGAATCTGATCAAACTGTGCTTAGTGATTCTGATCTCTCGCTGTCTGGCAGTGAATCTGATACTGATTCTGATGAAAACAACCAGGAAATTGATGAAGACAATCAAAATAATGATACAGACGATGTTTACGATAATGTTGCGAATCCTTGGTTTAGGATTAGGGGTTCTGAATTGGATAGGGATGGCCCCTATGAATTTTTAGAAAATGTAGGACCTATGAATATGCCTCAAGGGATAAGTACACCAGTTGAGTACTTTATGCTATATTTTACACAAGATATCTTTCAAATGTTTGTTAGAGAGACTATTAAGTATGCAGACAAATTTCTCAGTAACACTGAGCTCAAGAGAAGGTCCATAAGTCGTAACTGGGTGCCTGTTACAGAGATTGAAATGAAGGAATTTATCGCCATAATTTTGAACATGGGGTTGATTCGTAAACCCAATATCAAGTCATATTGGAGTAAATCAAGCTCACAGACAACACCATGGTTTCCCCTAGTCATGGGCAGAGACAGGTTTGAATTATATTTATCGCCATAATTTTGAACATGGGGTTGATTCGTAAACCCAATATCAAGTCATATTGGAGTAAATCAAGCTCACAGACAACACCATGGTTTCCCCTAGTCATGGGCAGAGACAGGTTTGAATTAATTTTGAAATTTTTTCACATGGTTGACAGTACACGGCTGCCTAGACCTGGGTCAGATGGATATGATCCATGTGCACGATTTAATCCCTTAGTTGAACATGCAAACAATGTATTTCGACACCATTATAAACCACATAGAGAGATATGTGTAGATGAAAGCCTAATTGGGACTAAAAACAAGACCCAGTTGATGCAGTATCTTCCAAACAAGCACCATCATAGATGGGGCATAAAACTTTATATGCTTTGTGATTCCGTGTCAGCCTATCTACTTGGATTTTTCATCTAACTAACCAGACAATAATCAAGGGCTTGCTCACAGAGTTGTAATGAGATTACTCAGATTGGGGTCATATTTGAGAAGGGGATATCATCTCTTTGTGGACAACTTTTTCACAAGTATGCCACTTGTGAATGAATTGGCCCAGCAAAATACACATATAACCGGAACTATTCGCCGCAACAGAAAGGAACTTCCAAGAGGTTTGAAAGTCCCAATGCAACCTGGGGAGATCATTACTTACAGACAAGGCGAAACACTGGCAACAGCATTCAGAGAGAAGAAGTCGCAGAAAAATTCTGTTCTGCTCATATCTACAAAAAATAAAGCAGACACAAGAGAAGTTTGCAACCTGGGGAGATCATTACTTACAGACAAGGCGAAACACTGGCAACAGCATTCAGAGAGAAGAAGTCGCAGAAAAATTCTGTTCTGCTCATATCTACAAAAAATAAAGCAGACACAAGAGAAGTTTGCCTTCGGCGGAGAGGCGTACAACAAGGGGGGGATGCACCCCAAACTATACAAAAACCATTAACTGTTTTGGACTACAATAAACATATGGGTGGAATAGATCAGACTGACATGATGCTTTATTTTTATCGTGATGAAAGGAGAACCATCAAGTATTGGAAAAAGGTTACATTCAATATTGTGGCACGTATGCTGCTTAACGCGTACATTCTGTACAAGGAACATTCAACTGGAAAAATCATGGCTAGATATAAATTTAACACTTTATTCATTGAAGCACTTGTTGCAGAACACATGGAAAATACAAGGGGTACAGAAGCTACAACAAAAGCAGGTATATGCTCTGTGCCCAACAATGGTGAAAAGGACTGCTCTGTCTGCAGCAACCGAAAAGTACCCGGGGGAAGGAAAAGGAGTAGAACTATGTGCCAGAAGTGTCTGAAGGGCCTCCATGGGCCTTGTTTTCCAAAACACATGTGTTAGGATCTATTCATGCTTCATTCATCAAAAATTTCACACAATTTATACAGGTTAGTCATGTTTGATCTCAGTTTAACAAAAATTTTCACGCATAAATTATGCAAATGAGGATTCCTCATTTGCATAAATTTATATATTTCAGTTTGATTTATAAATATAGGGCTTGTCATTTAATGGCGGAAATCTATTAATAGAACTGATGTCATTATTACTCGTCAGCCGGGTACTCAGCGCGGACAAAATGTCAACACTGTTCAGTATTACTATGTTAGCGAAGTGTCCTTGAAGTTCGTTTACAACTCTATTTTACGAAATATTTTACATATTTTTTTTTTTACTTCCATTTGCTGAAATGCGACTTCATTGCGTGAACGGCATAGGTAACAGTAACTCTAAATACAAGGATTGTCCGAACGATATGCTGAAACACACTATAAGCTGCCATGTATTCAGCAATATTTGTCCGCTGACCTAAAAATAGTACCCTATGACGTTTTCCGGTCTAAGAAATGACAAAGCCCATTGTATTAGCTTATTCAATTTCCTACAAGAATATATATGGTTTTAAATATGTAAAGTAAATAGTTTATTTTTTATAAATTTTTTTGCAATAAAAGGCTCCGTCTCCAAAGCCAAAGGGTTAATTAATAAAGAATACACTATACACGTAAGTTTACATGGTAAAATACGAAAAGCGTTTAGAAATAATATACGCACCTGAACTCCACTTTTACCCAGTATGGTTTGTTAGAAATTCAATAAGTTAGACTAATATCAAATTACAATTACAGTACAGATAAGACAGTACTGTGGCCGATTTGCCGCCAAAAAAAAGAAAAGTAAAGCAACTTTGACCTTGATTGATGTCCTGTTGATTTTAGAACTATATTTAAAATAGAATTTAAGAATATCATAAAATTATAAACATAAACGTGTTCTTACTTTCTTTGAGCTGTACGTTTCTTCAGAGCTACCGGTATAATAAAGTCTTGAAAATATGGTACAATCTTCGATTGATAATAATGGCGACTAAGATAGCAAGCAACAGGAAGTATCTGTCATAACCAACCTCACGTGACCAGCCGGGTCCGAATAGCCATTTGCACTATTGATACTCGGGTACCTATAGCCACTTCGTTAAAAAATATTACAGAAATGGGACATGGAAGAGCTCTTTTTTTTCTTATGGTAATAATACAACTAATATTCGTTACTATATGTAAACAACATGGCGAACAAGCCAACCAAGGCAACAAACATGACCACCAAATATTCCCGTGCTTGTGTGATTTGCAACTGTCAAGATAAAATCAAACAATGTGCATGTTGTAAATCTGTGTATTATTGTAGCATTGAGCACCAAAAGATGGACTGGTCTAAACATAAACTTACCTGCATAAAAGGAGGCTTTTCATCCAGTCATAAAAAACCAACACCAACTGTTGACATTGTCGGTAGTACAAGAACTGATAATGCACTTAATGACAGTAATATTACGAAGAGTGATAACGATACTACTAATACTACAAGCAGCGGCAATGATGCCACTTTGGAAACAAATATTTCACAAATGGAAGCTTCTAACAATGTGATGCTGTCTCTTGAAGTTGAAGCTGAAATAAAACATATATTAGATTTTAGCACTGTGATATTACCAAGCGACTCAGAATCAGACATTCCACAATCTCAGACTGAACAATGCAAGGATATATTTAAAGATTTGATTAAATCGGAAACAAATTTTTCTGGACCATCTGATAACACAGAAGCCTCAGAAAATGATGTTGATGATTCATTTGCTATTGAATCTGTGTCAGGACGAGAGCTGACAGACATGAGATATGAACAACTATTTGACAATAATGATGAAATCACTGCATTTGATTCAAGACCCTTAAATAATTTAACATTCTTTAAGCCTGAGTCATATCAGCACAAAGATCTAGCAGAATTTATTTGTAGAGGATTAATAAAATCAGGTTATTGTGTTGTTGATGAAGTTTTTGAAAAAACTATTATTGATGGCATATTAGCTGAAATTAAAAGTCTGAAAGATAAAAATGAACTTAAAGAAGGTCAGTTGGGTGGTGGACCATCCAGTGGGAATGATGCAAAAAAAGTTATAGATGCTAATATTAGAAGAGATGTGATTAAGTGGATTGATGGAAATGAAGGTCTTGCATATACTGCCCAAGTTCTTGGCACGATGGACTCAATCATAAGCTTCTTTAATAATTATTTAAAGAATGACTTCATTAATGGTCGCACAAAGGTAAGAAGGGGTTAAAATTTCACACACCCTGTCAGACACTATTTCGAAAAAAGGTCATGACAGAAACCTTAAATATGTATTTTTATTATACAATTAAAATATATTAGAAATTGAAAAATCTTTTTTTCTATCAAGTAGTAATTTGTATCCCCTTTTCTTATAACCTGATTTGAGTTATAAATTATCATTTGTTTCCTATAAATTATATTAATATTTATTAAACAGGCAATGGTTTCATGTTACCCTGGAAATGGAACTTATTATCGCCGCCATGTTGACAACCCTAGCAAAGATGGGCGCAGAATTACCTGTATTCTGTATTTGAATAAAAATTGGGAAACTCAGGTACGAGTATCTTAATATTAGCCTTAAGGGTAAAATTGTTTTAAATAAAATTTTTGTTAAATTTAAAAAACCAAATTGTTTTAAGCTTAGAGTGTATAGAAATATTCAAATTTTATGAACAACATTGTAAAAAAAAAAAATCAACACTCTAATAAACTAACCATCAACTAATGTTTATAATAATTGCAGCTACAGTGTTTAAATAAAAATATTTAAAAATGGAGTTAGTTTTTGAAAGGTAACAGTATCTTATAAGACATTAATTTAATTGTAGAATCTGATATTTATTTAAATGCTTGAAAAAAGTTTTATGCTTGACAATTTTATTTTTGTAAAAATGTGTCTTGAAACACTATGAAGCTCATCAACTAGAAATGTAATGATTCTTTACAGAAAGATGGAGGCCTGCTTCGAATTTTTCCTTTAAATCAAGAAAATCCTATTGACATACCTCCGATAGCTAACAGAATGCTATATTTCTGGTCAGACAGGCGAAACCCACATGAAGTGCAACCATCATTTAGAGAAAGGTAAATTTATTAATCCGATAATTATCTCTTTGTTCAGGGACCATACATTTTTAATGTTAAAAAAAAAAAATTGATCAGTATATTGCTGATGGTTGCAATCTCTTTAACTTTTCTTATGTTCACTCTCCCATATAGTTTTAGAGATAGCAGAAGATTCTTGTAATATGCTAAACTTTTTTAAAGCAAATGTTATAAATGGTTTCCATACAGTCGAACTCTTTACTTCATTTTAGTTTGCTTTAATCTACGCCCATTAAATTACTTAAAATAATTATTTAACTTAAGGTTTGCAATGACAGTTTGGTATTTTGATTCTGAAGAAAGAGAAGAAGCCAGGATTGAAGAGCTTAGACAAGGTAACATACTTTATAATAAAGTCCTTGGAGCTGATGTTGACCTGTTTTTGAATGTTGTTGGTAAAAGTATAAGATTATGGACATCTGTTGCTGGAAATAACTTTACTTGATCAAAATTTAAAAAAAAATGTGTTGTTCAATCCAAAGATCCTACTTGGTTTTCCATCTGAAATATCATGCTGACATTGTATTTAGAAACATGAGCAAAGGTTAAGAAATTCTGGCATCATTGTTCTGTCCTTCTCTAGAGTACAGCAATGTTGCTTGACCAAGGATACATAAAAATTAGTAGTAGTAGGATCACATATTTGGGAAAAAAAAATGTTGCAAACTTGAATAAACAACGTTGAAGATGTTTTTAAAATATTGAAAACAAACTGCTGATTTCCTAATGGGTTTTGTTCCCTGTTCATGTATTCCTATTCTTAATATCATTTCCTTAATATAGTATAGTAAATAAATTCAACCAAATAAAATATAACAAATAAGCTTAAATAAATGTACCTTATGCTCACATTCTACTCCTGTCAACAAAAAAGTGGCGAATTGCTTGTGATTGGTTGGTAAAAATTTCAATGCCTATGTGAGCTTGGAACAATTTTGCTAATCATCAAGGAAAATATTATGATGAGATTAAAATTGTTCAATAGAAATAAGCATTCCATATTGATACACCCATTGCTTTGTAGATCCCCTGGATGTTAATATGCTAAATGTATTTTATTTTAGCTCATTCTTGACAGTTGTACTTAGATTGCAATTTTTCAGCATACTCTTTCATTTATAAATTGTATCTTGCAGAGACTGAAAGAATAAGTGGACAAATAACAGAACTGGAAGAAAAAAGAAGACAGTTGGAGCAGGTCAATGAACTGATATTTATTTATGCAACATTTATGATTATGGCTTTATGATGGATTTAAAAATAATGGAAAACAATTAAAAACATATTTAACATTTTTTTTTTAGCATTTCATAAAATATTTTATAGCAGCATTGGGCTTACCCAGTATTGAATTATTTATTTAGACATTAATTTTTGTGTATTCTCCCACTGTTTCTTAGATCTGATTATGTGGTAATTTTATTTCTTTAATGGCAAAAAAGCATTTTCACTCTAATAGTAATCTCTAAACATGACATATGTAAAATAAATTGTAAAGTAAATTATTTCAACAAGAAGTTTATATTTGTTGAATGTAACCAACAGTTAACACAAGACCAGGTACTTGAAAACAAAGCCGTTGAAGCTGTTAAAAGTTTGTCAGAACAGGAGTTGGAGGTTTGTGAAATTTTCAATCTCTAAAAATCCTGAGTTTATATATATATATATATATATATACTATAATGCTAAATAACCTCATTAAAATTAATGCATCTTCATTTCATTATTCATCATGGTGAATGTTTATAAATCTCTTAGGGGCCGTCCATAATTGACGTCAAGCTTGGTTTGGGGGGTTGGGGGTTATTTACATTTATGTGATAATGTGTGATGAGGGGGGTTTAAGAACTGTGACCTCACATAAAAAAGCGGAAATTATTGATAAAAATTGCATGATGAAAACTAAATTACAAAAAATTTTTGAACATTATTCTTTAATACTACAATTATAAATATTTTAATTTTAAACTATAATCACCCATTCTGAGAGAATCCGTACAAGTGTGTGAAGTCCAAAAAATGCCAGCTGATCAAGTTATAAAAGACATCACGGAGGAGAATCAGGGTTTAGTGGTATTGACAATTATGAAAATTTATGTCGAAACATGGAGACACAAGTCATAGAATTATAATTACTACATAAAGTGGGGATGGATAGTAAAATGGTTGATTTGGGTGGGGGGGGGGGAGAGAAGGATCTTAGTATATATTCTATTCTAGGCAGGGATTCTTAACCTTTTTGCAACTTCAAAACATTTCTCGCAAACCACTCAACTCTCCAGATAAATTATGTCGTAATACAATCTTAAAATAATTAAAAAATTTAGTAATGGTACTTTTTTTTTATTTCTGTATTTAAATTTGTAGAAACAAGATAAAAAAATGCACCAATACAATTAATGCACAAACAAAATTCACCACAAAAAAGTTTATGGCTACTAATGAAAATGCATGAAAAATGATTTTTTTTCAAAGCAGCAACAACCAGCAATGGCAGTTAATGTTAAGATGTAATATTGTCAAAAAAGTTAAATGCTCCAAAAGAAAACCTTAACATCTTTCATTGAACATATTTCAAAATGTGTAGATATGAAACTTTGCTTTTTAACAGTTCATTTTAAAGAATTAACTAATTATTACAAGAACTAAATTAACATGTTAAAAAGAATCAAGGACAGAAAAATACAGTTTTATGTTCCTTGAATGAATAGTCATACATGCCAACCTGTATGGTTTACTGGAACTTTGTACCAGTACAGTTTTGATGTGTTTCTCAAGTTTAAGGCAGTACAGGCTTTTCTAAACTATTTTACTGGATTTAAAAAAGAAATATTTTTGCACAAGACATGTCCCAAGCTGGTAGTGCAATAAATTCAACACTGGGTAACAAGAAGCTTTAATCCGATTTGTCCATTGTTTCATTGATATCATTCATTAATATTAAGACAGAGTAGTAACTACTTTGAGTAGTAAATCATAATTAAGATAATTACAAAAAAACTGCAGTGTTATTTTAATTTATATTAAATACCGGTAAATATATATATATATATATATATATATATATATTTAATATTACTATCAATAGTATCAAATCAATGACTGGCATTAGTCAATATTCCCATTTATTACAACAGCATGGCTTAATCCGTCCTGTATGGTGAAAAATAAGGTTATTAGTTGAAGGTAAACTCAACAACTTTGTCAAGATGGAAGGACTTTATTAATGGAAGAATTATCATTATGTCTAATTAAATCTAAATTGGTATCAAACAGTCCATTTTTTAAATAAAATTGCTGATAATTGTAAAAAAAACCCTCAAAATGTTTACAAAAGTAGGATTTATAACAACCTATTTTTATTTTAAAAAATGGGATGTATGAATGATGTGTAAACATAATTAAAGATGCGCAACAAAGGGGAGACTATTCCTTTTTAAATCCATACATTGATAAAAATGATGAAAAGTTATAAATTATACTCCAGTACTTTTCATTTTTTTTTTCTGTAAAGTTTTTTAATGATATTGTAAAGTTTAAAAATAAATTATTTTGTACTGTTTTTTAATCTCACAGGCTGGCATGCATAATATTTATCATTATTATTAACATGAAAGCATGGACAGAAATGTAATTTGTAAAAAAAAAATGACATTGGGCTAAAAATTGTGATTGTATGATGCATTCATTCTATTTCTTATTTTGAGCTTTTCTTAAAGATAAATTATGTAAAGGATTTCAGGGATTCCAAAAAGCATTCTCATTTATGTTCATAGTTCGACTAATTTATTTGAACATATTGATGAAATTTGATTTAACCATGTGTGATTATTTTATTTTCGGATTTATTTATGATTAAAAATTACCTGCTGTTGTTAATTTAGCTGTTTGTTTATTTTCAGGCTGTCTCCTTTCTTATTCACAATCACCCTGACCCCAAGCAAGTAATGTCGAGTATGGGCATTTCTGACACAGTCCAAAAAGCCCTTATAAAATATCTCACCACAGGGAGGCCTTAACCAATTAATTAATTTATTTAGAAATATTTCCACCACAAAGCAGTCTGTGACATGGCTAGATATCCTCATTGGTATGGATATATATTTCATACTCAGAACATTTTCAGACAAGACTGACATAATGTAGCACAATAGCATTTACTGAATTATTAAAATTACAAGTTATGTGTTTAAATACATATATCATCAGACCATTACTTATTATAATACATTATTATATACAATTTATAAAATTTTAAAAAATATTACAAATATCTTTTGAACAAATCCTTTATGGAACCATGTAACAATGTTTGTATTGTTCTATCATCAAATTAATTTTTCCGTATTCATCACACTGGACCAATAAACTTTGGCCATGCTTACTAAATCAAAACTAAATTGTCTTTTACTAATGTTGTCATGTGATAAACTAACCTAACAAGCTATGTTTATAAGCTTTGTGGTCACTGAGTGCAGTCTGAATTAGTGGCCGGCTTTCAAAATTTGATATATTTATTCATTTAAAGGTAGTTTATTTGGCCACATGCAGGTGTTTAGCACAAATGGGTTTTTGCTGGTGTGCCTGGGCTGTTGTAATAGTACCATAACACTCAAGGCTGTGGTGTGCCTGGGCTGTTGTAATAGCACCATAACACTCAAGGCTGTGGTGTGCCTGGGCTGTTGTAATAGCACCATAACACTCAAGGCTGTGGTGTGCCTGGGCTGTTGTAATAGCACCATAACACTCAAGGCTGTGGTGTGCCTGGGCTGTTGTAATAGCACCATAACGCTCAAGGCTGTGGTGTGCCTGGGCTGTTGTAATAGCACCATAACGCTCAAGGCTGTGGTGTGCCTGGGCTGTTGTAATAGCACCATAACGCTCAAGGCTGTGGTGTGCCTGGGCTGTTGTAATAGTACCATAATGCTCAAGGCTGTGGTGTGCCTGGGCTGTTGTAATAGTACCATAATGCTCAAGGCTGTGGTGTGCCTGGGCTTTTGTAATAGTACCATAACGCTCAAGGCTGTGGTGTGCCTGGGCTGTTGTAATAGTACCATAACACTCAAGGCTGTGGTGTGCCTGGGCTGTTGTAATAGTACCATAACACTCAAGGCTGTGGTGTGCCTGGGCTGTTGTAATAGTACCATAACACTCAAGGCTGTGGTGTGCCTGGGCTGTTGTAATACTACCATAACGCTCAAGGCTGTGGTGTGCCTGGGCTGTTGTAATAGTACCATAACACTCAAGGCTGTGGTGTGCCTGGGCTGTTGTTATAGTACCATAACACTCAAGGCTGTGGTGTGTGCAACAACTGTGTTCTCCATCCTTCATTCCTTTTTTTTTTTTTTAACACCACATTACATGACCACTACCTCCAGTTTTCCCACTAATATCCACACATTTCAGCTTANGCTGTTGTTATAGTACCATAACACTCAAGGCTGTGGTGTGTGCAACAACTGTGTTCTCCATCCTTCATTCCTTTTTTTTTTTTTAACACCACATTACATGACCACTACCTCCAGTTATCCAACTAATATCCACACATTTCAGCTTAGGCATTCATAACAACTCACCAAGTCCAGTCAGTCAATCCGACAACAGAGGACAATGAGGTCACTGTGGGTCTCTAAGTACCCTTAGTGCACATAACAATACTGGTCAGTCCAAAAGTTACTATAACTGTCACAGCTGTTGTCTGTTGTGCCTAAGTGTTTAAGTATAATATAGGCACAACTAATCCTAACTCAACAATTTTCCAATACACAGAAAGTAAAAGAATCGCAATACAAATTTTGCCATAATTCTCTTCAATTAAATTCCATCATAATCATGAGGTTATTTGATTTCAACCATTCATATTCATGAGATTATTTGATTTCAACCATTCATGTTCGAATAAAGTTGTTGAATATAAGTATCAGAACAAATAAATCGTTAACATATTTTAGAATGTCTCCAAATTTCTCTGATTTCTTGACTGTGATATAGAGACTTGAGAGAATATGGGGAATATCAAGACTCTAGGAGACTGCTTGAGAACAAGTACTTGACATTGAGCAATTGTCTGACTAGAGAGATAGAGTTATCTTTCATGAGCCATTTCTCACAGGGAACGATTCATATTTTTTGATTGATGAAATAATGAATCCTCCAAATCAGTCGGACATTGCACTAATAAATTGTAGTGCCAAGTAAGGGGGGGGGGGGGGGGCTTTCAATGTTTCAGGGAGTAAGAAATGCTAAACACCCCAAATCCACTGACCTATATAGGTCACAGGTCAGCATGAAGAGTGACATGTAAATCAAATGTAAATTTCATGCACACAATCACATAATATCATGCCCGAACTTGGTGCAGTGTTACTCAAGAAACCAGCTAGCCTTTTATATGTGTGTACATGAAGAAGAATAGAGGAATATTTTAATGGTAATTTGACAGAGTTAGATTTACTTCCAAGTGTGCTTCACACGGCTATGTCATTGGCAGGCAGGGTCCCAAATCGAACTAAGCCTAAGCCATTTTAAAAGATTCAACCTTTACAAATCATAAAATAAATTTTATTTAAAAAAAAAAAAGAAAAAGTTTAACTATTGAAAAGCAACGGCATGGTATTGATAAATTATATTAAGAAAATTAAAAAACATTATCTTGAGTATTCCAATTAAACACTTCAACTCCAGACTGAACTACCAGGTAGCTCTGCACACCATTTACACGTACTAATCAATTATGTTTATAAATGTTTAAAAAAAAAATATTGGTGATATTGAATTAGTCAACAGTCCAAAGGTTTTCTTGGGGGTTCTATTTTCACCTCTTATTTCTAGTTTTGGTCACAGCCTAATGTTAGTAAGCTAAGAGTCACAATACAGGTCTGATGAAATATAAAGCCTGCCACATTTTTAATATACATTTTTAAATTTTATTTAGAAGTTATGCTAAAATAATTTTAAGTAATTTTAGAAGAAAACAAACAGAAATTATTATTTAGCGAACATCCTAACGGGCACTTAAGCAGCACGTCGGAGATCTTCTCCTGCTAGGACAGCCTCCACCACTATCTTCGCTCAGTTGACTAGCCTTACAGGGGCTGTCTCAACCTAAGGACATATGGTCAGTCGTTAGTGCGTCCTACCTTTTACAACACTAGCAATCAACTTTCCCAGGGGTCAGGATGATGCATTTACGTCTTAATATCCTGCCCTGCCTATCTCGGGGAAGCACTGTACACCCTCTATTAGGTTTTTCTACAGTGGGTTTCTACCTCGTAAATAGTTGACAAATTAGCTGGAATGAAAAGGTTGCCTAGGAACATCCTTCTCGAGGGCTATATATTTAGATTCATTATCATGAGGATGTAATTACCCACCTCATATCCGTCATCTGCAACATAGCAATCATGATCCCTACCCTGTTTCTACCATTATTTCAACTTCAAATATAGCCACAGGAGGCCATGGCATCATTTCTCACTGCAGTTGTTAGGCAGATACCAAGCATACACTTTGTCTGCCACAAGCAGGATCACACAGTGGTGGTTATGTTCCCCAGGTAGCGCTAGGGGGTTGGTGGTAGTGCCTCTTCAGTCAGCCTGCCACTACAAACATGCCCACCAGAGCCCGGTGGGTTGGGGAAAGGGGGGGGGGGGAGGTAAAAATTAAAATTTCCATTACTTTTCATCTCAATTTTTACTTGTGGGAATGGTAAACATGTTTGCCTGCTAGCAATTCTATTTTAATTAACAAAAGTCCAGTTTATTTGAACTATTTAAACAAAAATAAAGTATTCTAGATTTTTCTTTTAGACTAATTTGAATGATTGGATGCAATGATTGGAAGTTATGATTGGATGCAATGATTGGATGTAATGATTGAATGTAAAGTAAAAAATATTTTAATATGCAATCATGTGTTTCTCCAAATTAAAAAAATTAAATTATTACACTCTAATTGTTTTATTACAACTAATTAAAATGCAATGGTGATCACTGACACGAACACGTTATAAATCAGTAATTTCCACTAATTATTTTAAAAAGAAACCTTATTTTTTCTTGCTGACTAGTTTATATATACCAGTAGATCATAGTGAAACATTTTCTGCAGACAGAAACGGAACACAAAAATTAAATGGGGAAATACTTTTATTTTGATTCAGTATGTGTAACAACACGCCAATGACACAATTTCATGCACAACCATTTCACATATGCCAACAATCAGACTTGGGATGATAAAAATGTAAGACAAGTCATTATAAAATAAAACATGTGAGTTCCCATTAAACAATGGCATACTGTTGGTAGAGGAGCTCTCGAATTTTGAAGTAATCTTCGCACAATGTGCCCTCAAGTTTCATTTTGCCAGCAGCATCCTAGTGGAGAAACAAGTAAAAAAAAACCTTTGTATGTATTTAAAAAAATAATATGTTGCACTAATACGGAGTATAACTAGATTGTCTTTGAATTGATTTGATCAACCAGTACATTGATTTGATCTACCGGTACATTGATTTGATCTACCGGTAAATTCAATTCATTTGAAACATATTCACATTTTCAGTAATTTAGCCAGATGTTACAAAAACAATTCTTGAGTCTTAAGTACCGGTATTTAAAAAAAAAAGTGTCAATAATATTTTCATAATTTAACTTACAAATGTCAATTGATTTAAGCTTCAATATACCCCGTTCTGCCATTTCATTTACTTCGCTTGAATGCAGTCCTTTAATTATTATATTTAATTTACAGCAACACGTCAAGATTTAAATTATGATCCAGACCAACAAACCTCCCCACTTGTATCTATTGTTAAAATTTTAAAACTATTTTTTTTTTTGGTCTCAACACCACAACCCTACTTGTTAATATTTTTACTGTTTAAAATTAAAAAAATTAGAAACTGTTTAAAAAAGCAATCGCGTTATTTTGCTTCTTGTCCTCAACATTAGTAGTAAAAAAAAAAAAAAAAAAAAAAAAA